GGACCTTAAAAAACGCAAAAAAAAACCAGGCTAACATCCAGCCATCTCGACCGAACAAGCTTGGTCAATAAAGGATTTATTATATTGCAGAAAGATTTCGCTTTATCAAGAATTAAGAATGACTTGTTTCCTTCGAGAGCTGGGAAAGAAAGCTAACTGTGTTTGTCGCACAACAAACGCACGAGAGTCGTTTCGGTTTTTTCTGTAATGACTATTCTCTGACGATTTTTTATTTTCCGTCGCCGAAATTGTTCAAAATTTACGAACCTAGTTCTTATTCTATTTTTTTTATGCGGACGATCAATGCGGGCAATCCCGAGCGGGAAAGATAGACCGCATCTCGTCCGCCTGGGGACTGTACCTGATCAATGCAATGGAACGAAAAATCACCTAGGGTGTGTGGGGTTCTGGTAAAGTGTATTGCTACTTCACAAGCTGTTTTGTTTGGGAGCATATCAGATTTTTGATTTCGAAACCTAATTCTAAATTCGGTAATAGCTAGTTGATCCCATGTATCGCAGGAGACATTTCTTGCAAGAAGCGAAGTAAATCACATTTTTAGAATCACAAGAAAGTCTGGAATGAATGGTGTAACTTTTGCCCGTCTGAAAGCTAAGAAATGAATTAGATTCAACAAAGAAATTCTGACAGAGGTCGTATCTTTTCCTACCGCATTTACACCTCTCTCTTCCCTACTCTTTTCCCTTCAAGTATGAAAAGCGTGAGTTTAAAAATCAACCTACACATATATGGCCAATTTATTGTTCACTGTGTATCATATTGGTGGTCAGTCAGAGAATAAAGGTACTCAGCTTTCTTCATGACTAATCATGTATCCTGTGAGTGTGTTATTGAGCGGGAGGGGGCAGTGGAGGGGGCAGTGGAAACTAAAGGAACATAAGGTGTTTTAAAGATTCAATTTGTTGACCTAAAAAAGAAAACAAATAAAGAAAGTTGAGGACAGACCTTTTACTTTGCTTACACTAACTACCAAAATTTGATGCTAGGTAAGCATCCTCTCTTTAAGTCTTAAATCCATCCATCATTCGTTACCTCTGATAGCAAAATTTCAAACGGCTTTCTAAGTCCTTGCCATTTAAAAGCTTTTGCTTGAGTTACCAAATGTGTAACTGCCTGAATTAATGAGAATGTGCAGTCTGTATATGTCTCATCTGTTAGTGGTGGATCCTCTTGACCCTTCCATTCTCCTCACCTCTTCTTTTTCCTCTCTTTTTATTCCCCTCTTTTCTCCTCTTAGTCGCTATCTTTCCTCTCTCCTCCGCATAATTTCCCTACGTAGTCCCTCTCCTATCTCCACTCCCCCCTTTCCTCCTTCTGTCTCCCCTCCTGTATCCTCCTCTTCCTTTTCTCAATCTCTCTCTCCTCTCACCCCCACCTATCTCTCCTCTTCTTCTCTCTCCCCTCTTCCTTTCCCTTCTCTCGCCCCTCCTTCCCCCTCCTTTCTTCCCCTTCTCTTTATCTCTTCCCTTCTTTCTTCCCTCCTCTCACGCCATCCTCTCACACCATCCTATCAAACAATCCTCCTACCATCTCCTTTCTCCATCTCTTCTTTCCAACTCGTCCTCATCTATTCCATTCCTCTCTTCCCTCCACTCTCCCTCTACTTGTTCTTCTTTCTCCCCCCTCTTCTCTCTCTCATTCCTATCCCTTACACTCCTCATTCTCTCTTGTCTTTCCTCCCAGCTCCCTCTATCCTCTTCCTCCTCTTTATTGCAATCTATTCTACGAGACTGTTAAAAAGTACCGTAGTTAGCATGAGGTGTTTTTGTGACACGTTAGGGCCACAGAACGCTGCAATACAAATCAAGTTATAATCAGTGATTGAATCTCTCTTTTATGTGTGCGTTCATTTTCTTTATAGATCTTTCATATTCAACATCGTCACCTCCGACAGGTACTCACAAAATTTTAACTATTTCTTTTTTATTTGTCTGAGTAGGAGTCTTGTTTAGCTTACATTCCATTTTGATTCACTTTGCTTTGATACTTCTGATTTGTTTCTTTTTTTGTTTTTTGTTTTTTTTTTGCTCTTTGTTTTTCTTGAACGTAATTTGTAAAGTGCTTCTGAAAACATAATTTTTGTCGTAATTCTAGTTACCTACTTCCTCCCAAAGTGCTTAAAGAATCATACAAACCAACTCTATTAACTCAAGTTGATATTGCCACTGTATTAAGTGCATAAACGCTCCCGGAAATCGTGAAGAAGTTTTGGGAGTGTCTCAATGGCCTAATAGCTCTTACGGCTAACGGTTAAAATTTTGGCCATTTTACGGTTTGCAATTAAGAAAAAAAAATGTTTATATTTTCAGAACCACCACATATTATTGAATGGTGCGATGCAATTTGAGTTATGATCAGCAATTTGATCTCTCTTTTTATGTGTGTCTATATGTATGAGTGTATGTGTGTGTGCGTTTACTTTATACATCTTCCAGGTTCAACACTGACAAATCCAACAGGAGTTTCTAGCTATCAGCAATTTTTTTTTCAATTGTTTGTATTCTTTTTGTTAGTGTATATATGTTTTTTTATTGTGGGTGTGTCTGTTTCGCATAATCCTGTTTTGTTTCGTTTAGTTTCTGTTTTTTGTGTTTGTTTTGAAGGTTTGTTTTTTCATCGTCATAATTCTTTAAGCGGTCTTAAAGCTAGTTTTCCTTCATCTTTGCCTCCTTCCTCCCAACGTGTTAGGAGAAATGCACTAACCACTAACCAAGTATATCTCCTTAGTCCATAGTGCCAGAGTTTGAAATGCATGAGCACCATGGAAATTGTAGAAAAGCTTTATGTTAAAGAGAAACAATAAAACTCTCGCATATTTTAAACCAAGTATAGCCCCTGCCCTGTTTCTAGTTTTCGTTGCTGTAGGGATGACTCGACTTTACACTAATCGATTTTGTGTTATACAGATAATCAAGGAGGTCGAGAGTGCGAGACCACCTACAAATGGACAACTTACTCGCTTTTAGTACTAGTACTCGTGATACTTTTAGGGGGGGGCTTAGTTCGTGTACTGTGCAATAATAGGGGCGCAAACCAAATAGATATTTAAGAAAGGGGGTAAGTTTCTAAAGAAACTGTGGTGCAGCGTCTGTGGGAGTAACAAAGTAATTTGATTATATCAACTTAGTTGAAATTGTAAGTTGTTACGTACAGAGTTGAGAAAGCTCACATTTCGAACGTCAGCTCTTCGTATTACTTCGCCCCTCTGATGGGAGAATAGTTTAAGAATAGCGTGGAGAAAATATGAAATGTTTTGTAAGTTTTGTTTGTTGTGAGGACTAAATTTTCCTTCGCGCACAGACAAAAGCCAATTGAATATCAATTCTATACCTGCAAATATTGAAAACATGAAAACATGTATTTATCATGGGTTACGTAACTATTTCTTTGTGGTGTTGCATGGTATGTTGTCACAATTGCTTCATTAGCGGTAGGCTATATATTATAGCTTTTGTCATTTATATTCTTAGCCTAATTATAGTTACTTATTAAATGATAAATGTTTTATATTCGTTTGAGTGGGGTAGGGAATACACTAGAAAATAAAGGTTCTGACGTTTTCAAAATGTCACCTTTGTGTACGCAAGGGTTTACATGTAAATATCAGGAATTTATTTCGTCATTGCAAACAGACTATATTAATTATTCATTCTACCTTTGTTGTGCAATGTCACGTATTGCCTTCAATTTACAATTAAAGAGGCTGTAACTATTTCACTTCTTGTATTACATATGTCTAGAAATGTGGAAATGGCGAAATTTCCTCAGAATCGTTAAACCGAGTCAATTTTCATAGACTAGTTAGACTTTTTAGTGAATTTTAGTCAAACTCGATAGGACGAATTCAATTTCGCGGATTTGACGATCTTGACGAAATTTTGCCATCTTCGTTAGTGCATGAATTTTTAGACATATCTCGTTTTTTATGCTCCTAATTTCGAATTAACATTACTGATGGACAAATAAATTGTCACGAACTCGAAAGTATACCAAAGCATTTAAAAGAGGTTTTAATTCCAACACCCCAATAAAGGATCGACTTAGAGAACAAGAAGGCATTGTAATGTATTTTTTTAACATATCAGAAGTTTTTAATCTTTATGATTAAATTGAACTTTATTCCAATTATGTTTTATTGCTTTTAGAAAGACTATGTTTGATGATTTTTGGTGGGAATTCGTGTCTGGAGTTAAATATGATGCTTCTACTTATAGAAGAAAAACAAACACACAAACAAACAAACAAACAAGCAAACGAACAATCTTTTCGAATGATTGTAGTAAAAGCTAACCAAAATAACGACAGGAAATACCTAGAAGATCAAAAGAATACTTAAAGTGAAAGAAGCAGACTGATTTAGTCGCGGGAAAACGCGGATGACAAGCTGCAAAAAAAATTTTTTCAATAACATGTCAAATACAGACTTGGACTTCTTTTTTTTTTTTTTGCATTACTGCGCAATGCGATTGGTCCAGAAAGTTTGTAGCACTTTCTCAGTCGAAAAGAGCTCTATATTATTGGTCAGGAGAGAGTGACCCTCGTTTCATGGACCAATCACAGAGCGAAGTGACCCAACACCAATGCAATCCCGAATTACATTGGAATCTCAGTTGGAAATTGACGTATTGCTTTACGTATATAATTACTTTTTCCCCGATTTCCCTGAAATCCTGAGGTCGAGAAACCGCGACCTGAGAACTGCCTACCATATCTTTTGGGAATTTTTGCGTGCAAGTTTTTGCCTGTTTTCCGTCAACCTTTCTAGACACTCCTGTACAAGAGAAGGAAAACTCACAACAAATAAGCAAAGAGAACAAATAAACTCACAATGGAGAAAAATAAACTGCTCTGACACGAAGCTGCTTCTCAAACTAAACATAGCCATTTATCCACCAGACTAAACATATACATAACAAATTAAAAAATAGCGCAAAATTTCGCAAGGAAATGAATATTTCAAATTCATATACTTCACATAACCAGTTCGAAAAATACAGACATACGATACACTCTAAAAACAGTATAACAAGAAGTTTTGCGGTAACAAATGTACCATCTTTTACGGTCTTGGTAGAGAGCGATATCAATAGGAATCAAGGTGTTTTAAAATAATATCAGTGAGTGATTGTAACGAATAAATACACGAATTTATAGGCAAGGTATCATCCCCGCATGAAGATGAAAAGCCTCACTTTTTATTCCTTTATTTAAATTTTTGTCACAAACTTTTAATCGTTTCCCTTTAATGTGATAATCAATTTATTACTTCATAATTAACTTTTTTCTGGAGAGGTGCTTGTTCTGTTGCTCTTTGTAATAACACTTGTCTCACTTTGTAATAAACGTGATATAGATGGTCAGTACAGGAGGGCATTCTACGTGCGCATGCGTGCAACCCCTGTTACAAGAAGGTGTGATCGCGGTAATGAAAATGCCGCGGGAAATTCAAATTATACTTTTCATGTTAATTTTGGTGTCATTTCTCATTGTAAATTTCACTACACAAGTAAGTCGTGTAGCAGAAAAGTGCGCGCTGTGTGACAAGACTATGACTAGAGAGGACAGACGGCCTGCTTCTGATTATANAGATGGTAAACAAGTCGGACAGTTATGATGACTCAGAGCTAATCGAAAAGTATAAGGTTGCCAAATCCCACCAAGTGGGAAATTCTCTATGATGTAATCACGGTCTTTTTCTTAAAGTTAAATACGTGCGAGGTTTTTCACAGAGCATAAAAAGAAAACGATGTCATTCTGTAGCTTTGCTTCTCTTCTTGGGGGAGCTTGTGGTGCAAGTTCTGGGATTCATGTAGTGATGTTAGACAGTCTTGGGAACGCGAAACTGTTCCCCCACGCAACAGAAGATTAATGGCATCTGTCAGCTGAACAACTAAATCCTGGTGGAATGAGGGTGTGGCAGACATTTGACGTAGGCCCCGGCAAATGCATCTCTTTGGAAGGAACAAATGGTAAACCTTACGTTATATTCTCTATCCATTTTCTAGCTATAATGTAGCATGATCTCTCTTTAGTTTCAGACGGAAAAACTCAGCGAAGGAAAGCTTGAAATCAAGATCACTTGAAAACATCAAACCTGGCGCCAGTTTTTCTTATAAAAATTTATTTCAATTTTTTTTTTTTTTTATTTCGAACGCTATACTGGAAAAAGAAACTTTTACTTCATTTAGGCAGCAATGCACAAGCTGCACCTAACGCTATTTTTGCTGTGCGAAACGCACCAAATCTCGCTCTGGACAATGTTTAGGTGTGTTTGATTTTGTCGTTAATTATCTTTCATATTATTTTCTACAGAACGCCATTACCAAAATATTCCCTAGGCGAATTCAAATAGATCGCTCCAAGGAGAAAACTTAAAGAACCTACTAAAACTTACACAACGGATCCGCTGAAGAAGAAGACTATGGCCGTGAAGCGAAAGGCGATGATCAAGTGTTCCATGTCCAAAAGAGGGCTGCAAGCGTAGTTTCCAAAGGCACTCTTCTCTGGAAAAGCGTCTGGCGTTCGGAACATGCACAAAGACGGTTGAAAGGGAGACACTTCTTGATAAAGCGAAGGTTAAATATGCCGCAAGGCTCGAGAAAGGTTGAAGTTCCGTGCCAACTATTCCTCTACGTACCTCCTGAAACCTGTCCTCGTGGCACTGGATATGTGAAACCGTCTGAAGGCTTCGCTTTAAAACAAGTTAAGAAAGCTTACCGGTTTAACGAAAAGCAACGAGAATATCTGCTGTTAGATTTACCATCAAACAAGAGTGCGGCAAAAAGGTCGACGCGGAAATGGTTACAACAGAAATGAGAAGAGCAAAGGGATCGAAAGGGGAGCGCTTTTTCAGTGCCTCTGAGTTTTTGACGACTCAACAAGTAGCTTCATTTTTTCCAGAATGGCGGCAAAAGTGAAACAGCAGACAGCTTCCTGCGCACAAGCTGTAACTGAGCAACATCTGGTTGCTATGCAGGAAGAATTTAATTTGTCAAATGCCAAGGAGTCTATTTTTGAGCAGTTAAATGTAACCTGGGGTTGATCAGAGAAAAAAGACATCTTAAATCGCTCTGCTCGAGGACTTTGTTAGATGCTACTCTTGCAATGCAGTTCAAAAGGCAAATGGCAAAAGGCTGCATCAAAAAATTGAATTTTATATGAACGTTGATATAAAACGGGGGCCATGGAGCACATTTTGGATCGGAGGAGCTATTGTAGTTCCCCCGTAGTATAAGCTCATTGACACCAACTTATTTATGAGGGTCCTGCGGTCTCCCCTCCGAGGAGAGTCACCTTCTGTCTGTTTCTTAGTACGCCTTTCTTAGTACAGAAAGGCTGCTAGATAGGGTGTCCTGGGATATGTTCTCCCCCGCAAATTTTGAAATCTAGAGCTTCTGAAATCACCGGAAACGCGCTTCAGTCCTAGGAAAAGTTTGTCAATTTTTTTTCAATTACAAAGATTAAAAACAAAAAATTAGGATAATTATAAATTGTTCTTGATGGGGCTACAGCCCACTGAACTCCATAGCTCCGCGGTCTCCGTATTAAAGGCGCAAACCGGAAATGAAAAAGAGG